GGACAACTTGTGCAGACAAATATCAATAAACAACGGTTTGTAACCAGGTGTCAATGTGGCAATGGCCGAGGTGAGTAGTGAGAGCGTGTGAGGTGGAAGACGTTAACCTGCACATCACTTCAACTTTAGACAATTAACGTTTGGTAGTCCTCTTCGTTTCCGTTTTGTACACTTGAAAACAGGTTTTGACCATTGGTTCTCTCTTCGTCAATGCAGTTTCGTCGCTTCACTGAATCACACAGGCCTACCCTTGTCCCTAATCATGTGTGGTGAATGAAGGGTGATTGAAATTTGACCAAAAGCCTTATTAGTTACCACGCAGAGCCATCAATCATATTGTGAAGGTGATGTAGTTACCCAAAGACACCATCTGATATTTTTGTAGCCAGTACCAACTATGCCATTTGAGGTGAACGTCGGCGTGTTTGAATGTTGTTGTTCGGTTTAGACATGGCTGCCCTTGTGTGTGTGTTTGTGTTATATTAGATCTGGTGTCGTTTAAACACCGAGCACACGCTGTACGCGGCCTGTCGCCACAATTCTGAAAAGACTGGTACTGAGTTGCTTAATCTGCCCGAAACGGAGCAGTGTATTTTCGACGAGGGAGTCTAGCGTGTCGCCGCACCATGGTGCATGACGTCGCGTCATCAACACCCTGCAGCCCCAGTGTTCCTCTTTAGGTGTCCAAAGCTACGATATCTTTTGCTGTGACCAGTCACGTAAAAGGCCTGACAGATTGACTATGGCAATGTGTTAGACTTCTCGTTTTTATGCTGTGGCGTCATTCACGGGGGTCGTATGCCATCCACAGCCGTCGTGCGAACCGTAAACGAGTTGGCTCCAAGTGTTTGTACGCTTTTTGGGTATCGACTTCTACCCACTGTGTAGTGTTTTTTAGAAATCTGGACAACATGGTTTTTTGTCTTGGGACGCTGACGAGGCGATAGACGTGTGTTGTTGATTTGCTAAGGCAGAATTCGACGTGTCTGTGTTCTATGCAGTTGATTGTTGCGGTTGTTTTCTTAACTAGAGTGTCCTATCAAGTCACCAGTGTGCAGTTATTAGTCCCTATCCATATGAGAATCTCG